GTATACATAATGGAAGTGGAGTGGTGGTGCAGTGGTTTTTGCGCCACAAACCCGGCGATCCGAGTTCAAATCCTGGGTCACGGTTAACATCAGTGGCGAGTATCTTAGCTGTTCCTGCGCACCATCCTTTCACCAACACGCATCGGCTCGTGTGGTGACGTACGGTTGAACAGCCAGCGTGATCAACACTGCATGGAGAGGCATTGGTCCAGCCGTGCATGTACAAAGGGCTATGACTTTTTACTACTCTTATTATCATTATATAGAGGGACGAGATAACATCGTGTGCTCACAGCACACATAAATAATATCCATATCCTCAAAAACGTCACAAGGTGCTTCCCACTCAGTGGCACGTGGAGTGGCGCTCATCTCATGTTGACAGCACTAAGTCCTTCGTGGAAATTCTGCATTCCTATGGCAGTCACGAGACATTTCCATAAGAATGTCATTGATAACTTCCAACACAAAGTGGTACCCATTTTGTGGAGCCCCGTAGGATGATTCTAGATTTGAAGTTTTTGTGACTGCAAGGATCCATACTCTTTGGTTCTTTCGGTAAAATCAGGTAGGTAAAAATTAAATAAAAAAATCAATAAAACAAAAATGTAAACAAATTAATAAAAATTTATAAAATAAAATAGCCTTGTCTACAGTAAATTTGCTGTGCTTTTTACATCTGATGAAGGACGCTTGTGTTGCCTCCAAAACGTTGTGATTTAATTTAGTTGTTTTCATTTTTGTTATATTTATTTATTTATTACCTACGTGACTTTACCGAAAGAACCAAAGACCCCGTAGGATAATGGGCCGAGGCAACCTCCGACCAGGATTTGACCTTGTGACCCTCTGATAATTGGATGCTGCACTTCCTGCATCGCTATACATATGTGCACGGCCAATTTGGCAATTCACTGCTGGATAAGGGCTACCTACAACACCCACTACGCCTGTGTTGTGTGTGGAGGTCACCAATCCAAGCACTATGTGGGCTTAAGCCTGCTTAGCTTGAGGTATGACAGAATCGGGCAAATTCTGGGTGATTTGGTCATAGGCAATTATATATACACACACATACAACACACATAGAGAGACAAAATTCAATGTGCACTGCAGAAACGTATGCAGAATGTGAATCCGCTACACTGCATATATACACACACAAACCGGTGACTGAAATAAAATTAGAATTTGCCCAGAGATATTTTCCAAGCAATCAGAATTGGGCCTGAGCCGACATGATTACAAGCACCGACAACAGAACACACTATAATGAGTGTCCGTCTGGATGATGTCTAATATTAAAGATTACATCCCTAAAGACTCTGGTTAAATTTGCTTTTGATTAATATGGAATGAAGTACAGAACAGGAGCTATTATTGCCCACTTCCTCCAAAACACAAAAGTAAAGCAACGACTTTGCCAATATCTGTGGGTTCCCATTTAGTCTTATTTTATTTTCATGAATAATATATTATTTATATTTTACTTTTATTATTGTTATTGTTGCCAGGAGCAAGCATCTAAGCTATTATGAGAAGATTGCATTGCAGGTTTTTAAGCCACAGAGCTTAGCTCGCGATTAAAGTAGGTAAATCCACAGGATTACGCCATTTGAGAGCCATCCCGATTTGCAAAATCCCTCATCTTAGGGACAACTTCATCCAGAGTGGCTCAGGGTTGTGGTGAACTCCCAGCAGGGCAGGCCAGGCTGTCAAAGCTGACAGAGCCTTCCTCGTGTCACCTTCCAGTTGGAGCATCTCGAGGTCAAGTACAAAGATTTACTCCACTTACTCGAGCAAATGCACTCACGCACGCACGTGTGATTGTGTGCGTGGCGTGCGCGTGTCTTTTGCGAGCGGTGGCGCCGTTGTTAGCGCACTGCGCTACGGACCTGGCGAAGCGAGCTAGACGCCGGCTCATGGCCAACATTGGTGACAAATGTCTGAGCAGGGTTTGGTCCTCCCCGCGGTCGACTCAGCCTTAAATGAATACCTCGTTTGGTGTGTAAACAACGACCCTGTGGAGACCAAGGCGGACAGACATGGTGCTCGCCACCCACCCCTCACGTGCCGTGCCAGCCTTCAAGGGTGATCGCAAACGGCACTTGCCCCAACAATCTGCTGAAAGCTACAGGGGGGATCTTTGTCTTTGTTTGGACAAAAAGGTGGTACAGTGGTCAGTGCAATGCGGCACTAATTCGGAGACCCAGGATTGATTATCGGCTACGGCAAACATCGGCGGAGATTATCCGAGCTGGTCATTGGCCTCCCCTACGTCGACTCAGCCTTAAATGTGTACCTGATGTGGTGTGTACACAGGAGCACTGGGGAGACAAACGAAGCCAGACCACTGCCTCATGTGCCATGCTGGACTTCATAAGTACTCGCTAACAGTACTTGCCCCAACAATGTATATGGAGGATGGATTTGTTGGTGTACTGCATATACATAGAATACATTTGTAGACTGCAGGGTGCAATGAAGTTAAAGGCTTTGACTCCGAGCCAAGGTGTATATACATGCAGTATATTGCCGATTCTATCGAACACACACACAACAAAAAAAAACATTCATGAAAGGAACCGGAAAGAGAGGAAGACCTAACAGAGGATAGTTTGACGACGACATCACAAGAGATTGGTGCCAGAAAGATGTGGCACTAACTTGAGAATATTGTCACAGGACGGAGAGGAAAGTTGAAACAAATGACGAAATGTACAGTGGACACCTACGGGCTACCTGCCCATGGATCGTGACGGTGTGATGATGATCGAATCAACACAGTTTTGTTTTGGAATACGTTGTACCAAAGATTATACAAACAGCTACTGGGAGGCCGATCTGTACACATTTCTCAACTATGAGGTACCATTGTTGTATCAGCTGCCAGTTAATGATCAATCTCTGAACTCCACTCGTAAGGGTGGCAAACGGTACACGGTGATTCATTGTGGACAGCACCACGGTTGTTCAAATTGATCAAAGCACTGGAATATGCACTGCTTACTTAAGGATTTTAACAAATTATCATCAATTAGACCCATGGGCGTAATTCTCAGCTGAGAGGCTCGGATTATTTTCAACCTCTTTATTTTTCGCTTCAGGGATGTCACCACACACACGCGCACTCAAACACACACACGGTGTACATGTAAAGTTTTTTTTCAGATGATTTATGCATGTAGGGTAATAATATTTCAAACCAGGATGCGCAACCGAGGATCTTGTGGTGTGAATGGTGATGTCTGTGTGGGGGGGGAGGGTCACGTTTCTATGGCAATGTTGTAGCACACATTCGCAAGCTCACCTGATACAAGAGCGTTCCCTGTATTTACCAGCGTAATGGTGTGGCTCTGCAATTGCTTGCTCATGCCACTGATGGGTGGAAATATCACCTCCCATTAGGTGCCCCTTAGAATTGTATTTGGCCTACTCTTCTGCACGGGCCAGATGATTTGGGGGGAGGCGGCAGCTCTCACACTCTACCCCACCACGCTCCGATTAGCACGGTTGGCTACGTACGGCGCGAAAGACGTTCAAACATGCATGCATACATACGCACGCGACCTGCCGACCGGCTAACTGTGGCGCGTACATTTATACTGCTGGGTGGGCAGAAGCGTTAGTTTGGAGAGGGGGGGTGGGGGGCGATTTAAAAAAAAAACTTGAAACCATTATCTCAACTGCCGCTCTGGGAGATCGAGACGAATCGGCGACCTCTGAATTGTAATTGTAAGGCCAGTAGCCTAACCAGTACACCACGGTGGCATCCTGTTTCCCAGTGTGTGAGCACACACAGTATATGGGTGCAGCCGTAGTGAAGTACGTACGTTGAACTTCTCTCGCAACACCGTACGTAGCCAACCGTGCTGATCGGAATTGCGGGGTGAAGGACAACAAAACTAAACACAAACCCGGCGATCTCAATTTAATTCCTGGCCACGGTTAACATGAGCTGAGTGACGTATGAACCAGTGGCACGCCCGTACTGATCGCTGCGAAGTATTTGCCAAACAACCCCCCATGACCGACATCGCAAGAGGAGGCCTCATCCAGCAGTGGATTGACAGAGGACTTTAAATCATTATCATAATTGTTCATCAGTGCACATTATGTTAGTGCTCTTGCAAACTATTCGTACTTATTAGAATCGTGGACCATAACTGTTACGCCATCGTCAATATCGCTTTGGTGTAACTGGCTTGTCCCTTGTAAAAAAAAAGTTGGAAGTAACGTTAATGAAATGCTCTTGCGTGCCATTTTAAGATAATTAATTGCACTTTCAGAATATTGTATGCACCATGTGGGGCACATGGTTGCTACCGGGTCGAGGTTCCTTTATTGTCCCAAAAAGAAAGTGTTAACATGGGGAGTGTGGCGCAGCAGGCAGATGGTCTTGCTTTTAAACAGCATGGATTTGGTCTTCAAAAATAGATCAGAAGCCCCGAGGACAGACACACCACCAACCTGATGGCTGCCACATACACCTAAACAGCTGCTCCTGTAATGTTTCTTTCCTTTAATTTTTTTACGTTCACACGTGATGTGGAATTTCTTTGGCAATTTTATGCTGAAGTGAGCACCCAGGTGTTGCTCATCTTCCATTTACAGCCCTGAGCCAGTGGTGGAAATTCCTCATTCCTATAGTGGGGGACGAGTCTAACCATATGAAAACCACCGCTGACCTCATCACAAAGTAATACTCATTTCATTGACCCAGGAGAGACGATCGCCCGAGTCCACTCTCCAGCACCCCCCCCCCAACCAGAATTTAAACTTGCAACCTTCCGATCGCGAGCCACTCACTTGGACCGTTGATCACGGCCCATTTGTGGGGTCCACCAACGTCTCACGTAGGCCACGTCCGAGAGCTCAAGAGTAAGCTCTCTTTTTCAAGTCGGTGTTGCTCAACTCAACAAACAAACAAAAAAGCGCACGCAGACAATGGCATGAGCGACGCACACACAAGGAGTAAGAAAAAAGATGTGACACTATACCTTTTCTGCCTATGGTAAATGAAGGATGGCAACAATCCATAGCGAGCATGTTTTAACAAAAATGGGAGAGAAGAAAAGAAATGACAAAGACGTGTTTTAAAACTCCACGCGCATGTTTGTACAAATAAATCAGAAATTAGCACATTAAATGCATCCGCTGTGCACCTCTGATTAAACACCATGGTTAGAAAATGGCTTAACAAATTATTGCAAAGGGTCCGTTGATTACTTGATTCAGTGAACACTTGTTCTAATCAGTTCATGGCCTTACACATCAACAATCATGCATGCTTCCTGGACATCCTGCTTTTTTTTGTTATTAAAGGAACAGTTTACTCCCAAAAATAATAGCTCTTATTTCACAGAATTAGTTTTTTTTTGTGTGTGGCAGATTGTCCGACTCAAGTTTGACGAAATAAATACTTAAAAATCTGTGACAACTGAGGTGGTTCAGGTGGCGCAGAGGTCAGAGCACTGGGCTGGCACCGCTGAGGTCTCTGGTTTGAATGCTGGCAGCCACCTGCCTGTGATTTAAACCGGGTTCTCGAGTGTAGCCAAGTGATGGTCTCTACCCGATTTTAACAATGAATGCACACCAAACAAAATTTGCACTAAATATTGTTCTACACTTAATCTGGATCATTTCCAGCTCTGGGAATTCAAACATCAATATAATTTTGACAGTAATTTGACAAGCATTACCCTCATTTGGCAGAGTGGGTGGTAAAGTGCGAATATGTGGACCAGAAGTCACTTGAAGGGATCTCAAATATCAAATTCTGTGGGTTATTCTCCAACAGAAACGTTTGCATGGCCCGCGAGAGATCCAAATGTAAACGTTGTCCCATGACACCAGAGCACAATTTTGGTAAAACAATTCTGATGTCACAAAAACAGAAAGCATTCCCTGTGATTTCTGCACTCTTAGGTGACTTTAAAAAAATTCATTGGAAAAGATTCAAACTTATGCTTGACAACTCAGAACAAAAAGCCTGGATGCGTCGCTGTGAAATAATAACTCTTGCATTTGTTGTATTTTCACAGCTAGCCTTTGCGTTTCCGTGAAATAAGAACGATGGCTTTTGTTCTTCGATTTGCATCTCCCGTTAATAACCAGCGCGATGCTTCAACCGTGACCACAAATCCTGATGCAGAGGTGTGGGTTCTACTCGATGGGGAATTCAGATGTGAACTCGGCCTTCTGTTTTTTTTTGCTTCACCTGCTATCAATAATTTCCGACAATCGTTTGCCACTTGGGTTCAGTATTGGCCCTGTCGGATGCAAAATAATTCCTGATGGCCTCTGGGAGTCAAGCCGCTTACTCGGGGTTTTTTTTTACCTTGTGAAGTTCCGACGTGAATTAACACCTTTTTTATGTCCTCATGTCATTTTGTAGTTTTGAATAAAAAAAAAGTGTCACGACTTTCCGGTCTGAAAGCACCGGAGGTCCCCCTGGTGTTGTCAATTTCGTCTTGTTCAGAATAATTTGTCACTGGCATTATTTGGCCCAATGTAAAAAAAAAAAATCCAGCAGATATCTTTTCCCTACTGTGTTTATTGGCATATATTTTATTTAAGGACATTCGTGAAAAGCTAACAGGGGACATAGGAGACAGAAGGAAAGCGGCTCTGCCAGACGTGTAAATATTTAAGTGGCAAATTTGTATTTGAATGCCCGTTCAAATTAATTTAATTACATTACCAAAGATATACCAGAGTGGAAACCACTCCGGCTTAATGTTAAAATATCTAAACTATAATAACACAAGCAATTTTCAACCATCTTCATAATTCATGCGCTAAAGTGGCTTTTATTTTCTAGCGTGTGGTTCGTGATGTTTTGCTGCACTGAATTTTGCAACGTTCGACAGGAATGATGATGCACGGTGAGCGTTATTTAGGATGTGATGAGTAAATATTTGGAAGAAAAATAAGTTAATGAGTGATATACAGACATGCATACAAAGCACTGCGAAGCCATTGTATTTCACTTTAACGCGCTATTACCGTCCAATTTGGATGAATTAAATCGTAATCGCCATTGCTATTAATTCCCCCGATTCCTGGAAACAAATTGGATTCGTGTTATTTGTTTTTCGCTCATAACGGCGTGAATTATTTATAGTCCCAGCTTCCCCCGGCTGACCCGCCCCTTGCCGCAGCCCCCTTTGTGTCAATAGGGCTAGGGATCCATGCTCCATCAAACATTCATGACACGGTAATCGCAATCAACACGCGGGACCGTTGGTGTGGAAAGGCACGTGATGCACCGTCTAAAGTGCCACCGCTCCGTACGAGACGGGGCGGCGGCAGGGACAGCGGTGAACTACCAGGCCAGCCGCGTGCTTTGCACACAGAACGGGAAAAAAAACATCGTTCTTTGTTGTTGGGGGGGGGGGGGGGGGGGGTGTAAGGACACTCGGGAGCAGAGCTGTAGGGGAATGCATCCCTTTTCTTATTCAGCGTCGGTTAACATTGCAATGGGATATTTTGCGCTGTATTTTTCTCACGTATATATCTCCAGATCGTGTATATACTGTACGTTGTTGTTATTTTTTTTCCCCCGGCCCCACTCTGAAGGTAGTGTTTCCACTATTTCCCGGCGCTGCAATTTGACGGTGAATTACCCGCGTACGCTGTACCAGATGCTCCTACAAACGTGAACCATTTCGAGTGCACGCTTGCTTAACCCCCCCCCCCACCCCCTACTTTTAACCATCATCAATTAGTTATGAAACCAATAGCCCGCCGTACATTTTTCAGTGCTGTTCAATATTTTCACCGGTGCTCTGCGTATTTGGGGTCGTGCATAGGCGCGGCGACGCAGCCCATCCACCGCTACCTCGTCGTTGGCATCCTGCTGCCCGCAAAACCCCGAAGCACCGCGCGGTGAAACACGCCCCAAAATTGCGGGCGATTAATTATTAAAGCCCGAGTATTACACGTCCTCTAAATGCAAAATAAATTAAAAATGTGATCGAGTGTAATAAGTGCATGTGGATCATCAGAAAACCCAGCACGACTGTCCTGTATTTATTTATTTTTTGCTCCCTTCTCACCGGTGGTGGTGTGGAATTTTATTTTTGCGACCACGTGTCTGGCTATGCACTCAGTGGGAGGACGGTGGTAGGAGCCGGTGGGGGAAAACGTGCTTTTTTGGACTGCAATGTGTGGAGAGTGAGTAAATAAATAAATAACACTTGAATGTTGTATTCTTTGGGTCTTTCGGTAAAGTCACGTGGATAGGTTCAAAGAAAATATGAATTCCTGCAGTCACGAACGCCTTAAGTCAAGGTAACCGTTTGCGCGTGCAAGCGGGCATAAGGGAAGGACCATCCTACGGGAGCCCGTTCTCTGTAAGCGCACGGCACGTCACTCGGAGTACTGGGGCCGCTCGTGAGGACATCACTTGGCACCCAGCCAAACTTTGACATCGCGCAGGTGCCGGAGTTAACACCCCCACCCCCGCCCGTGCCTCGGCGCTCAACTCGAATAATCAACTCGCAAAATCGGCGGCGTGAATTTTCGCGCTTTCTGCGAGCTGTCGCACATTCTTTACCCTCCGCCGTCTCCTGCGAAAAATTGGGATCTCTGGAGGTGAGCAAAGAGACAGGGGACTGGTGCAGGCTTCAGCCAGGGACAGTGGGTGGCATGTCGGGGTTGTTAAGCTTCGTGTCCGTTGCTATTCAGAGGGTGAGCTACAACTCTTGAGTGCACAGTGTTGCCTTTATTAAAGCTGCACACCTGTTGGCTGTTGGCTTCCAAGCATTCCTATTATCTACAGCAGGGCCTTTCGATGCATTACAGCCTCCATACAGAGCCACTTAGCTCTGCCAGACTGCGTGCGTGATAGTGAGCAATTTCCTCTGCGTTTCCGGCTAATGCAATCATTTCTAGGCCACAGCCAGCTCATCTTCAGGCATCCCGGGATCGAATCTAAGCGCGCTCGTTCCCTTCGGTAAGAAAACTTACACTGAGCCCAGTCGGCACCTTCAACCACCGCAACACGTGTTGGCTCGGTATCACGCGTGACCCGTCGCAATTATTGCAACGAATCACGCACAGTCTTGATGGACATCTTCACGAATGTAAAAAAAAAACTGTTGCTTAAATAATTAAGAGGGTTTACCTTGATCGGACAACATCAGATGTGCGAGGCCTGTGCGTTGGTGAGTGCAGAAGAGAAGTTGGTAAAGAGAACAAAAACAGGGTCATAGCACCACAATCGTCAAGAACATCATCACAATAACTGCTGTAGTGTATTGTGACAGGCAGTAGATCGTAATTTTGGTGGATTCTGGCTATTCATCAAAGGATTGTAAAGCTATTGGCCAAACATCCCTCGAGGAACTCTGCTTTATATCTCAAAGTTCAGTTTTTCTTGGATGAATGACCATTATAATTTTAGTATTATTATTGTATCAACAATATGGTAAATGTGCCGAGCAGGTAAGAGAATATCTTCACATTAAGCGGGGACATAAGGGGCCCACCTGCCACATTGAAATTCCATTGCTCAAGGCCATAATCAGGAGGAAAATTCAGTTCCACTTATTTGTGCTCATTCATTCTGACATCGCTCGCACGCTACTGGACCTGAATGTTTAACAGCTCGACATTTTGCGGCATTCTGTTTGCCGCTGAAGCAATGCGTGTCTCTTTCATTAGCATTTATCACGTGGCCCATCACAGGTGTTTTGGGGGCGCTTGTCAGAATCATTCTGGAGGAGATCACAATGAAAACATAACAGGGCAGGCAAATGATTTGCTTCCGACATTTGGAATAATTCCGATCTTACGTGGCCAAATTTATTACCATGTGTTAGGTAAATGATGGCAAGGATGTTTTTCGTTCGGAAAGCATGCTTAATGATGCTAGCTCAAAAGTGAAATATTTAATGGCAGCAGTGTAATTTGCTATAGTTATCCATGTGCTCTTCCGTTTTTACTCGGCTTCCAAAACAACAGCGATGGCTCACGTGTATAAAGAGAAAGATTTAGAGACGCACACATTGCCTCCTCTATTTTCCACCAAAATTTCAATCGGTATGGGCGTGTCTTGCACCCATGCCTGGCCATATTATTGAAACAACAGTGTAATTTATCAAGAAACGTTCTCTCAATTAATCACTCAGCACAGCGGTGTTCGCTCGATATCAACCAGGCTGTCGCAATCTCGATAAAATGCAGGAGGACACCTGACATTGACATTAAAGGAGGTCATTAAGCATGGGTGAATGCAGAAACATCAACATAGCTTTTAGACGGAGCTGGATCGGGGCACAATTTGCAACGATGCTAATAAGACTAAAACAATGAAGGAACAGATAAAAATGGGTCAGTGTCTGTTGCGCATGAAGAAATCTTATCCGTAAATAAATCCTCCCACATTCACGTTGCTGCCAATATCCCCCAAAGAGATCCCATGTGGTCCGATAGATTGCGGGTTTTTTTTCCTTCTTCAGATGTTATTCATTTAAATGGTTTCCTTCAAATACAAATATTATGATGTTGTTGTTGTGACTGCGTATATATCATAACTGATCAAATAAAATAAAAGCATATATATAAAAAATAGGGAGGTTTTGCCCTAGTCTGCACAGGACTCCAATGTGATATCTCCAACGTGATATTATTGCAGCATAAAAACAGGTGTTGTGGCAAGGATGGATGTGGACATGTCTGGCGTGAGGTGTAATGAGGCACGGCATGCACACCGCCTTTTGGCAGGGTTAAAGGACCATTTTATTCCATTCTTTGCGGGGGGGCGACTGATGCCCAATAGGCGTTTCTCTCTCGGGATGATGAGGGAGCCGTGTTGTTGTTTGCTAATGCCGGGCCCTGTCTGCGGAATTCGCTTGCCAGCTCCTTCTCTCGTGGCCTCCTCCACCCAACATCTCGCCACCGCCCCCTCCACATCTCCTGGTGCTCCCCCCCCCCTCCATCCTCCTTTACAAAAAATCATATCCTCTCTCTCTCCCCGTCACTACCACCCACGGGCGCGTTTTCTCTTCCTCTCCCCCACCCTCCCTCCCAGTCCACAAAGCCGCCCCATCTGCTTGGCTGCGATACCAGCATCGGAGAAGAGGTGTGAAAAATGAACTGAGAGTGTTTCTTTTATTCCCTTTCGTCGTAGACGATCATTAGGCTTGTCGGAAGATGATTTCAGCTTCTGTGCTGAAACGCTGTTGAGACTTTGTCTAATAACACACATCCATTTCATTGCATTTCCTTAAATATTATGGCCCTTGCCCTGGTTTGCAAACGTCTATTTATTGCCCGTTGCTCATCTTACTCATTGCAGATGATGTAAGGCAGTGGACCCGCTTTGGCAGAAAAACAATTTCTGCAGATTTGCAGTGGCAGACGGTCCAATATGCCAAAACAGAGAAGACCTCCAACCAAGGCGACGGGGCGATGGAATCAGCTGGCGTGCAGCTGTGTTTCAGGTAGATTATTACTTGGCAGAATCGTGAAAGATGCTGGTGGCTCGTGGATTGACCCAAGGCTGCTGATGATGGATACCAAAAACTGTATGATGTGTATACATCAACAGTTTGTGACTTTAACTGACTCGTTCTTTTGGGTTTACTCTGTATAAAACAAGGACATTTAAAATACGTGATTTGTAATAATTATAGCAGACTTTGTGGTTTGTGGCTCAAGGTGATTATAGCGTGGGCACGAGCAATTGGTATGCTTTGAAAGGAGATGCCCAGGTGGGGTGGGATGGAGGGGGGGGGGGGGTGATTTAACAAGGTCCAATTTGCAGTTAAGAGACATTGGAAAGCAGGTTTGTGGAAAAAATCAGGTGTGCACGCACGTCCATGCTGGCCAAGTGCAGCACGTGACCTTGCACTGAAATTAGTGTTTTTTGAAAGTTTCCGTAGTCTGTGAGGGAGTTTGGTGCAAGTGTGCTGCAGTAATAGTGGCTATGTCGAACTGCTAATTAGAGGACTGCTGAATATAAAACACTCCAGTTTGAGCCTAGAGTATTTCATGAAGTTAATATGAGCTAATAAAAATGGATAGTGTAAAAAAAACATTAATTTCTAACTTTTATGATGCTTCATCCTTTTTTTTACATGCGATAATTTGCGTCAAGTTTCACTGAAAGAAAAAGAACGGCTTAAAGTTTTCGTGACTGCAAGGATTCATCTGCTGATGTGTAAACTTTGACTTTAGCATTGCTATTTCTGTGACCAGTCACAAGCTAATCCCTCAGCTATTTCAATGCTAAATTCTCCTGTTTGATATGTAAACCCCTTTGTCAAGGTGCCTCACTTCTCTCACCCAGCTTAAAAGACGCTACGAATCTTAGCAGCGTTCATTGAAGTTCTGTCGTCCCGACAGTTCTGTTCCTTCACCTGAAGAAGGCTACTTGTGTTGTGGCCGAAACGTCGTGAGAATTGTATTTTATTATGTTTCATTTTTATTATTTTATTTCCATTCTACGTGACTTTACCGAAAGAACCAAAGAAGAAAAAAGAACGGCGATTCCTGTTTAACTGCGGTGCGTCACGCTTCATTCTCACGCTTGACAGAATAGTTTGTCGTCGTCGTCCCCCCTCCCCCCCCCCCCCAAAGAAAATTACTCAGTGTCATTGTCATTCATCATCGCACTGATTTGTGTTCATTAGGATGATTTTAAGCTGCCTGTTTTTGTGTGTGTGTGTGGAAGTAGGGAGTTTTTTGCCGACCACTTTTGCCTGACAGCTGCGACGTCAGTGAAGTCTCTCCAAGCTAATCGGTTGCGCACAGATATGGGAAATTTCACGCGTGCCGCTCACACCGCCCCATGCGTTTATTGCCCTTGCATCTTTCTTAGAAATATTATTTGTCGTTCCTTTGACTCTTATAAAACGGAGGACCTTTGTAAATATTGTCCTGCATGCGCCGCCAACTTCGGGAGAGTCCTGGATCCCAGTGTAACAGAGAAACTGCGGGGTCAATTATCAACTGGGCTCCCATATTCCTCTGTATTGCCATGCTGCATAATTCATCGTATATCATGATGCTTATTCTTTACAAGGGCTCCGTAAATGCTGACGGAACATGGTTATTTATTATTAAGAGCAATTAATATTTCAAGGAGGGTCTATTCCATACCTCGACAAATATTTGCATTTTAAAGCTGCCGGCCGTAATTACGCGCTCTGCTTGAAGGTTGAAAAATACTTTGTGCGACGTATTTTGGGAATTTAAACGTGAAGGTGGGTTTCTTTGGGGCTCTGAGGTCAAAGCGCTGAGCCGGCACCGTTGGGATAAAACGAGGTTCGAATGCAGGTTTCAGCCACCCATGGCCAAACTGGGTTCTCAAGTGCAGCGAGTTGTTGGTCACAGCTCGGCTAGTTGAGGTGGTTCGGCACCGTGGAAGGATGCCCCTCGGTATAGACTCCCCCAGGAACTCTATCGGGCAGCAGCAGCATCAGCGTCTCACTGGGCGAAGACCCTGGGGCCGGCCCAGGACCATGCTGCTGCTGGCGGTGGGCCGACGTCGCTCGGCTGGTCTGGGAATTCCCCAGGAAGAGCTAGAGTCTGTCGCCAGGGAAATGGAGGTCTGGACCGCCCTAAATGCTGCCGCCGTGACCCTCACCAGGATAAGCGGACTGAGAAACGAACGAACGAATGAACGAAAAAAAAAACTGGCGCTGAAAATGACAAACAAAAGTTGGGCAACCTTGCAATGAAGATCGCTACTGCAGGGTGTGTGGGGGAGTGCAGTGCCCCTGGTGTGTTATTGAGAGGTCACTTGAAGGGATCTCAGAATCAGTTCTGTGATACATACTTTTGCATGTCATTCTCTAACACTGCGTGTGATTCACAGCTCTGTGAGAGTGGACAATTTTTCCTCTCAAGACTTATAATACAATTGTAGTAAAATGTATTAAAAGAAAACAAATATTGATTTAACACGTAGGCTTTCGCGACCAATATTATTCATAATAAAGGTTTTTGGGTTAGATCGCGTTTATTTATAAATGTGTTGTAACCCTCCACCACCCGACACGGCCAATCAGCAAAAAAAAAGTGTCACGTTGACAAAAGACAAATAATTCACTACTTCAGCCCACCGGTGTGTTGAAGAGTGAATCCACATTTACAGTTTGAGTACGACGTTTCGCTGGTAAATACATCCAGCATCATCGGGCAATTCTGGGCAATTCGGGCAATTCTGGCGAATTGCCCGATGATGCTGAATGTATTTACCAGCGAAACGTCGTACTCAAACTGTAAATGTGGATTAACTCTTCAACACACCGGTGGGCTGAAGTAGTGAATTATTTGTCTTTTGTCAACGTGACACTTTTTTTTTGCTGATTGGCCGTGTCGGGTGGTGGAGGGTTACGACACATTTATAAATAAACGCGATCTAACCCAAAAACCTTTATTATGAAAAATATTGATTTATTTTAAAATGAGTGAAAATGTTTGTAGGTGGTGCAGGTGAGACAGTCTTAAGGTTGTGGGAATAAAAAGAAAATAATTTTAGAAATGGCAATATTACATGGCGCTACACGTCACATGTGCGTGGTATTTTTTTATCTCACAAAATAAGCTCCTTCTAAGTTTTTTTTGGGGGGGGAGGTCAATAAAACAAATAATTTAAAAGAAAAAAAACGGAGATTGGAAGTGAGAATCCACAGCTTTTGTAAATATTATGGTTTCCGAGTGCTGCCTTCACCCCCCCCCCCCCTCGAAAAAGGTTCCATCCCTCCCCCTGGCCCAGCCAACATCAATCCCACCTGGGAGAGCCCCAGCGATTACAGGGCACTTGTTAATATATCAGCTCAGCTGGGGAAAAGCTTCTTACTGGCTTGGACTATGGAGGTAATTCCCTTGCCCTAGCCAGCAGCCACCCACCCCTGGCCTAGACTTTGGGCTGCCTAAATAAGAGATCACATCCTCGAAGCTCTATGTGGGTAGAACCGGCTTTACCACGGTGCCTTGATTCCTACTCTCCAAGCATTAAAGCCACCTGGTGCATCTGAGACAGTTCCCTCTTGTGTGATTTAAAATATAAATCTCCCTTTCTCTTACCCTTAGAAATCTTTTGGCCAATTTTGCAGTGTCACATGGCCCGCAGGCCCACTTAAACGCTTTGGCTAATGGGGGGCGTTAGCTCTTAGTGAAAGGTTGCGGCAGCGTTTAGCCGTGTGGAGTGCCCTAATAGGCGTATTTTACGAAAGTGCGTGGCCGACGCTGTTGACTTTCCTTCCACGCTTTGAAATCTCGCAAAGAGCCCTGGTTTGCGAAAAAGCGGCACGCCAGACGTTTGATTCATCTCCATTATCGTCGCGTCATTTTTTGTTGTTGCGCTCAAGAATGCAACTTGGCTGGATTTCACGAAGCCGCGCCATTAATGAATGAACAGGGCAGCATCCATCAAATGTCCATTATGGGAATAGCGATGCATGGGCATTCGGTCTGGCGAGCGTGAAACTAAAAGGGAGGCGAAACTATACATGAGCGAAAGCAGTGTGTGTTTGTGTTATATTTTCTTTTGATATGCAACTGTAACGCAGCAGATGGCAATCAGCCTGCAAACGAATGACCCTTTGCGGCCGTGTACAAAAAGAACATCTGTTTGTCAGCGTGAATACTTCCTTCCCTATATGGGTTTATTGGCAGAAAAAAATACGCTTGTGGATTATATGGCTGGGAAATAACAGAAATAGACGTGTGTAGAGTAACCATTTAATTGGAGATTTAAAATACTGTATATTGATTCGTAGCAATTATATATTTCTTCATAGTTAGTTTGCACCACATTAAAATAGGGTGAATTATTTTAACGAATGTAATGGTTCTGCACATCCATGCTTGTGCAAATGTAAAATAATGTAGGCATTACTAGGTCGAACAAAGACACGTGGAGGGGAATGCCTTGACAGCATCTAATTAATTCCGTAATAATTGCGACAGTCAAGTGCTCCCAAAAAAAACGTTCTTCGCATCAGCTTAAATTAAAATCCGCCAATTTATTTTCATTTTTTTCCACACATCAGTTAGCCTTACGTATAATAGCACATGCGAGCAATTCTTTGAGTAACCTATGTATGGCAATTTACGAAACCAGTTCATGCAATATCTCTCAGCAATTACAAAAAAACACAGCATACTCAAGCCTGGCGATGCATGCAAAGCTCCAAGTGTTAAGGCCAATGACAGACGGCATGCAAGGCACGAGAACACCTTACCTGGCATGGTGTTTTCCTCTGGAGACAGAGAGAGGCATTTGAGGAGGTGAAAGGTCAGAAAAGATGGGAATAAGAGCAAGAAAAGGGCAGAAAATGAATACAGTGGACGTAGGGGAGAGATGAGTTGCGATGGGAAGTGGGAATCAAAAATAATAAATAAGAAAAATAGAAAGTCATGAAGATGGCAATTGGTTTGAAGATGGACAGGGAAAGGAATGGGAAACAGTAGAGTAGAAGACAATAGGAAGGAGAGAGAAACACACACGCACCCATCATTACGTGAGGCATGCTGTTGTATATCCACTTTGCATGGCAAGTCATGCAAAAACAACCGTTCAAACACAACCGTTGCATCTTGCGATGCACAACCTTGACTCCCGTTGTCATGGGATCCTGTAACGTCCTCTCGTAACTCTAAAAGTCATCGCGCTATCTCGTGACATCGCAAACCGATCAGCATTGGTACACTGATATTTCTGCTTGGGTTACAATGTCACACGAATCTTCTTCACAGGTTTATTCATGAATTGCTTTACTTTCTTTTGTTATTTACGCGTGTGAAGATTTCCAGTAATTGCTCACCGGATATTGGGAATGTACTAAAGCATATTTGAATTTTTGTTAGCATTTTGCCGAGTGAGGCAATGCTGATGTTTACAAAAATCCTCCATATCCAGTAAGTAATACTATAGCACAAATCGCCTTCCCGTCCTGGACAAAAGCCAAACAGCACGCAGCACAGTAATGAAAAGATTCATGTTAATATTCATTGCTTTCATTGCAGAGACTCGCAGTCTTGTGGTAATTGTGAACATTACTCTTTTTCTTACTTTGTTACCGCCGTTCACCATTTCTAACGAGTACAAGCTGGCAATAATGAACACATTTATAACATAATAACAATCGTATATCTTTAAAAAAAAAACATCACAAACCATACAGAAATGTATAGAATAGGTTCCGTAGCCCTCGACGTCCTAGCTCTGGAGCGACGCTAACACGCAGAAGAGAGAGTCCTTGGCCGCTCGATTTTGAGCCGCGAGATTTGCGTCAACTCCACAGAACGTGACAGACGGGCTCGTGATGAATGAATCTCCCACCATTTGCGGCCACCTCAACCGCCATTAAGGTGAACGCCGTGGAAAAAAATATAAAGTTCTTCGTCATTCATTTATTTTCTTCGTCCGTTACAAATTAGCACCCCTTGACAGTGACTGATGCTCGGGAAAATTTGCCGGTGTAGAGCGGCGTGCCAGCCCGAACGGGCTGAATGCTAATTAAAGTGAAAGAGCCCTCTTGCGTGATAATCAATCTAATGACAAATGGTCATTAGCCCAGGTAAAGCCGATTCGTTGTTCACACGTTAGGAGCTATTAACATCATAATATTTTTAATTTAGGCGCTGTGGATCATGTGAAACCACATCAACTGCCAAGACCTTTGCTCTGTAAGTAATATTTTTCTATCAGTTACCGGTAACAAGCACCTACGTACGAAGAAATGTGCAGCATGATAAATGCTCGGGGATATTTATTATATTATATTGCATGTGCGTGTTGAATCGTATCAAAATACTTTTGTGGGGCAGCCTGAATTTGTTTTTGGCTTGCAGCTGACTGTGTTGAGTAAAACGGTTTTTTTTTTAATAACGTAACAAAAGTAAGTTTTTACTTTCAATGCCGAATTCATGCTGTGGCTTCCTGAAAACGTGCGTGTACATACAGTGAGGGAAAAAAAGCATTTGATCCCCTGCTGATTTTGTACGTTTGCCCACTGACAAAAAAATGATCAGTCTATAATTTTAATGGTAGGTTTATTTGAACAGTGAGAGACAGAATAACAACAAGAAAATCCAGAAAAAGGCATGTCAAAAATGTTATAAATTGATTTGCATTTTAATGAGGGATATAAGCACTTGACCCCCTCTCAATCAGAAAGATTTCTGGCTCCCAGGTGTCTTTAATACAGGTAACGAGCTGAGATGAGGAGCACACTCTTAAAGGGAGTGCTCCTAATCTCAGCTTGTTACCTGTATAAAAGACACCTGTCCACAGAAGCAATCAATCAGATTCCAAACTCTCCACCATCGCCAAGACCAAAGAGCTCTCCAAGGATGTCAGGGACAAGATTGTAGACCTACACAAGGCTGGAATGGGCTACAAGACCATTGCCAAGCAGCTTGGTCAGAAGGTGACAACAGTTGGTGCGATTATTCGCAAATGGAAGAAACACAAAATAACTGTCAATCTCCCTCGGCCTGGGGCTCCATGCAAGATCTCACCTCGTGGAGTTGCAATGATCATGAGAACGGTGAGGAATCAGCCCAGAACTACACGGGAGGATCTTGTCAATGATCTCAAGGCAGCTGGGACCATAGTCACCAAGAAAACAATTGGTAACACACTACGCCGTGAAGGACTGAAATCCTGCAGCGCCCGCAAGGTCCCCCTGCTCAAGAAAGCACATTTACATGCCCGCCTGAAGTTTGCCAATGAATATCTGAATGATTCAGAGGACAACTGGGTGAAAGTGTTGTGGTCAGATGAGACCAAAATGGAGCTCTTTGGCATCAACTCAACTCGCCGTGTTTGGAGGAGGAGGAACGCTGCCTATGACCCCAAGAACACCATCCCCACCGTCAAACATGGGGGTGGAAACATTATGCTTTGGGGTATTTTTCTGCTAAGGGGACAGGACAACTTCACCGCATCAAAGGGACGATGGACGGGGCCATGTACCGTCAAATCTTGGGTGAGAACCTCCTTCTCTCAGCCAGGGCATTGAAAATGGGTCGTGGATGTGTATTCCAGCACGACAATGACCCAAAACACACGGCCAAGGCAATAAAAGAGTGGATCAAGAAGAAGCACATTAAGGTCCTGGAGTGGCCTATCCAGTCCCCAGACCTTAATCCCATAGTAAATCTGTGGAGGGAGCTGAAGGTTCGAGTTGCCAAACGTCAGCCTCGAAACCTTAATGACTTGGAGAAGATCTGCAGAGAGGAGTGGGACAAAATCCCTCCTGAGATGTGTGCAAACCTGGTGGCCAACTACAAGAAACGTCTGACCTCTGTGATTGCCAACAATGGTTTTGCCACCAAGTACTAAGTCATGTTTTGCAGAGGGGTCAAATACTTATTTCCCTCATTAAAATGCAAATCAATTTATAACATTTTTGACATGCGTTTTTCTGGATTTTGTTGTTGTTATTCTGTCTCTCACTGTTCAAATAAACCTACCATTAAAATTATAGACTGATCATTTCTTTGTCAGTGGGCAAACGTACAAAATCAGCAGGGGATCAAATACTTTTTTCCCTCACTGTATATGCATAGCTATAGAAATATATACCCGGGCATGGAAATGTGATCGCAAAGTGATTCCATTTAAATGTTTTCAAGAAAGTCGTTGAATCAATATTTGAATAGATACCTATAAATAAATAAATAAACAAAACAAATTAATGCCTAAATTAATTAAATGCCTCTGCGTAACCTCAAATGTCAGTTCAATGTGTGTACATTGAAAGGAGGCCGGCGATGCATCGATCCAGGAGGAGGGAGGCACGGCTGAGGGCAGAAGCAAATTTAACTAAGACTGTTCCTCACCAATCACAATTCATTGACTGCACCTCCATATCTACACGAGTGAGCAACGTAGGCCGGCAGTTATCTCTTGGTCATTGAAAATAGCATTTTGTGTTCCAGCCTGTATTAAATTTGTTTTAAAATATGTATAATAACAGTGTTGGTCCTGCATATCTCTTCGGCCACATTCATGAATCGTCAGTTGCAAGCATTTGTGCTCTCTGGCCCCATTGCAGACTCTTACAAAGGTGGGCATTATCTCTCAATAAATGTTTCATCAATCTGTATTCTCACGCAAGCAGCTGTAATGGCATTCCAAATTACTTCTTCTAAAACGGCTGGTTTGTAGGTGCAGTCTTGAAGAAAGTCCATCGTGTCTCATTACCTCGCAGATTAGTTCACGGGCAAGTTTGAGACTGGCAGCGTTTGCAGGACAAGAGTCCAATTAAACGGGTTCTGTCAAAACTCTACTCGAGCCAATCACAGTTGAACAAGTGCACTGGCACCCAATGAGGGATACGATTATCACGGTTGGCTACGTACGATGCGAAATACAATTCAACATAGATGCAAACAATTCCAATCTGTTTGCTACCAATTAGAATCTAAAAAATAAAGAAACAATTGCATAGAAGGGAGAAAACAAATTAAACAAGAATTAAAAAATGAGATGAAGAAATGGCTCTTCACACACAAAATAAAAGTTAATGCTCCATCAAAATGAATTTAGGCTTGAAACTCATTTAAAATGGTTTGAACCCACGTGGCTTGGGGGCTTTTGTCAGCCCACTAAAGCAAAGCAAACGTAATGGGTATTAAAAGGGTGTCAGAGCAAATACAACAGCGTTTGTGCAGCCTTCTCCACTCCCCCGATCGCAGTCACCTCTACCACCCTCAAAAAATAAATACGCGTGCGTCTGTATCACTAGCCGGCACTAATGCACGAACGCACGCTTGTGAAATCTAAATCCGGGTGGGTGGGTGGGTGGCGGGGGTCACTTGTTTATCTTGGGCTAATGTTTGAGGTGTTTTTTTACTACTTAATAATGTTAAGTCTTGAGCAAGCAAAGCCATCAGAAAAAGGTGGCCTGGCCAGCCCCCCCACCACCCACCCCCAGCTCCCTCCTCCCACGCTGCTGCCAGCATCCACTGCGAGTTGCGCTTTGCCTGTTTTATATCGAATGACCCTCGTCCGAGGTTCGGTCATTGGACTCATGCATAATTCACGTCCGCAAACACATTACACCGTGAGCGCGCGCGGCATTAATAGTTTATTCCACAGCGATGATAGGAGATTAGCTCTGATATGGAGAACGCCGAATTAATGAGGTCGCCAGTAAAACCTCCCTTTTCTTTTCTTTTTGTCTTTTTTTGCATTTTTTTTTCAAAAAACATATCTGAAATTCGCAAACCAATTCTCCTTTGATTTTAA